TACCTCCTGACTGAAAATGTGCCAGGATCCTCGCACGCTGCTCTGCTGTGTCATCTGAGGACAGAGCCCAACCGATGCCCGTCAGCCCACAGACACCAGCGGAGCAGACGGCCATTCCAGCAGCGTGGAACTGATGGAGTTAATGAGATTTTATGAATCTTGCAGTAGTTGAGGGATTTATTCATGTCCCATCTCCAGCAGCCTTGGCTTGAACAAGAACTGCTGGTTTAAGAATAAAACAAACCGACTTTTTTTAAGTCTTACAGTTTTTAGACTGGCTGTGGAGAAGAGGCCTGCAGGTGGCCCTGCTGACCCAGAAATACAGGATATTCTCTCCCTCTGTTGCACTGGGATCCTTAAATTTCATATTTAAATTGTCCAGGGCCAAAACTCAGAGGCTTTATTATGTTGCTCCCGTGCTTCAGCCTGTCTGTCCATCGGCTCAGGAGACCCTTGGGGGTGCCTGGCAGAACTGGGCAGAGCACCGGCCCACAGTGCTCTGTGGAAGGGTTCCGGCACAGGCTCGAGCCATTCCCGCGCCTCTTAATTCCGTGACAGCCCTGGAGGCTCACAAAACAAATCGGTACTAAACACAACTGCTTCCTTCAGCCTGCAAAATGCCACGGTCCTTTGCAGAGCTACCTCCCTCCCAAACTTACACCCCACTAGATGGGGTTTTTGAGCCTCCCGAAACCCAGCTTTAAGGAGAACAATTATTGACCAGGAACCCAAGCAGAAATTTTTCCCCATAAGCATTTGACTGAGGAAATTCACAAAAAACAACAATGTCCCAGGGCTTAGAGGGCAAGTCCTGTTCTTTGCTTTCTGCTTGAGAGGCGACAAATGTGTCAGCACTTTTTTTTTTCCATTCTAGTCACAAGACCATAACATTGTTCCCCTGACTTCATTCAGTCCGGACCTAAACACGCTCTTTTTCAGAGGCGCAAAAGGAGAACAGAAAATGCAGCATTCTACAAAAAATAGGGGGTGAGTCACTTGTTCCACATCGGGTTCAGGCCCTCAGTGCCTCTCTCTGCTTTCAGCCTGGGACAGAGGAAGACCAAACCACAGCTGGACACATCTGCGTAATAATCCAGAGGCTCCCGTCTGCTGGCAGAGCCTGGATGGGCTCAGTAGCGCAAAACGAGCCCTGCCCAAGAGGTCAGACCTGACCCTAGCAAATTCCTGAAGGCTACTTCCCAAATTCTGGGGAAGGCAACTAAGGTTCTGCCAGAATGCTCACAGAGAAGCCCCTGGCCCCAAAATGTTCCTCGAGCTGTGAAACTCTGTGCCGTGGGTTTGCAGAGGCAGGGAATAAATCCCATCTGAGTAAGGACCGGCTCAAAACACAGGGAACGAGTTCTCCCAAACACCTTACAGTTGACTCCGCTGCTGGAAGTGCCAAGAGATGCTGCCAAACCTCGGCTGCTGCTCCAAAGGCCGCAGTGAGGATTGTCAACACCGGGAAGAGCTTCTGCCTTGGAGAATAGGAGCCGCGGTAGCAAACGCCTTGTCTCCTCCAAGCTGAACGGCTTCTTCCCAATATTAATGGCTTAGGGCCTTGCCACGAGTTACATAAACAGCGAGAGAATTTTGATTAGAAAAGGCTGGATGAAAGCACAAGACGGCAGAAAATAAGCTCAGAAAGAAGATATGGAAGCACCGAGACCAAACCAAACACCCCTGCTTGACGCCTGCTGAGGTTTTCTTCTAGGCTTTAGCCATTCTCCCCCATTTCCCCAGTGACTTACCAACTCCTTGGACTTCTGCCAGCTGTACCAGAGGCGATAGCCCTGCAGGTCTCCGTGGATCCTCCCCAGAGGTGGCTTCACCCATCGGATCTCCAGGGAGGAGCTGGATGCGTTGAAGTACACCGTGACATTCAGTGGCGGGGTGGTCGGAGCTGCAGGAATCCAAGAGAAAGAAGGCGAGGAGAGGTGGGTGGATGGTTACAGGGATGTGGCAGGATGATGGAAAATGAGCTGTAGCTTGACCAGAATTCCTACAGCCTTTAATATTCCCAGCAGGTGACCATCCTGGGATAAATTTCCTTTCCCCAAGCAACAGAGTTGAGATGTCCCACCCCGTGAAGAACCAGGACTCTGGACCAGCACCACATCCAGAGAATCCTGTCCAAAGTACAGCTGCACGACCGAGGAGAGGAAACCCTTCTCAGTATCCCCTACTCATTTCCTACCTCCCTCAGTAGTGCTGGCGGTTATCCAGGGGCTAAATGCCGACCAGCCAACTTCATTCCTGCAGGAAACACGGATGTTATAGTCCTCCATGGGCCCCAGCTGCTGGATGTGATACACGTGGGGAGGCACCGACGTGTTGAAGAGCAGAAGTGAGACATTGCTTCGTGGAACAGCTTCCTCCACCTTAATGGAAAAATCAGTCCACAAACAGGCATTAGTCAGCAACAACCTGCAGGGAGACCTGCCGCAGGAATTTTACATCTGTAAACAGGGCACAGAGCCCTGCCTCCCTTCCCTCCCCCATTATCCAAACCCCATTCCTGCATGCTGGCTCATCCCCACTGAGGGAAAAGCTGACAGCAGACCCTTTGCAGGGCCCAGGGCGAGGGGATGCAAAGAGCTGCAGTGGGGACACAGCAGAAATGTACGACATCTCCGTCACTGCGGGAAAGAGGACAGGGAGATGCTTCCATGTGGCACAGAGCAAAAGGAGCACCCAATAACATCAGTGGGCCCAAAACAAGCAAAGGAAAGTCCTTTTCTGTGCAACAAGGGATGCCAGCGCAAGCCAGACAGTTAATGTGTAAGACAACCCACAGGACATGTTTCAGCATGAGCCACAGGCAGAAAGTCATACGGTCCTCTCCAAAGCCTCCAAGCACGGTTTTGGGGGTAGCAGGAGAGCTGCCCTGCTGCTTGAGCAACAATCATACCCCCTGGGTATCCCGGGGTGCACAGAATGGTCTCAGCATCGACACCGGCCAAAATGAAAGCTGGGAAGAGCCCCGACGTGTTGCTGGATGCTTTGAGGGAGGTGGCCAGTGACCAGAGGGATGTGCAAGCTGCTCCCAAAGGCACTACCAGGACCAGCTGTTCTCCTGAGCATGGAGCCCAGCTCAGCAATCTCAATCCTCAACTTCTCTTCTGGACAGAGTCCATCAGATTCATGTATTTTACCAAAAAATGAGGCTTCTAGCACACTAAAAGAGTTTGAACTTGGCAGGTGGGACAGCAGCAGCTTCCCTTTGAAGCACCAGCGGCCTCAGAAATGAGTCACTTGGTTGGTGGGCCACGCTCCCCCAGTGAGGGGATTATCAAAGGGGACAGGAGCAAAAAAGGCTTAGTCACAGCTGTGTTTTTGCCAAAAGTCCTGTCTTGTTTTCCAATTTGAAAGGCTATTTCCTACTGACGGACCGTGAATGTGAAGTCATAGGAAATTCCTTGGCTCTCCACCCCACTTCCTGAGCTCCAGCTGGAAGGCAGCAGCGGACACGGTGCTAATATTAGCTCCGGTACCTTTTCTCCCTGTCACTCCTTTCACTTTTACCTGGCTTCCAAGATCTCCACACATTACCTCAGCTGGAGGATAGATTAGCCAGGATAAAAACCACATCCAGAAGAAAGCACATTGAACTGTGAAACCCAGCAACGCCAAACAGATGGAGAAGGTGGGAACTACCTGCAGGGCTGTATCCATGGAGGTGGCATTTCCTGACTTGTAGAGCTCACTGTTCAACTTGGACTCCTCAGCATCTACCCCAAATTTCCAACCACCTGGATTGCAGGGCACAGCCAGGACAGTGTGCCAGCTTCCCCTTTCAAAGCCGCTGGGAAAGTCCAACACAGTTTGCCCAAACCATCAGTCTGGTCGGATCCACGCGGTTCAGGGCAAACGACACAGATTTCCACCTGCCTCGGAGTATCTGTGTGAGGGGAGGCTGCATGGGAAAAGGGGGTTTTGGATACTTACCTGGATGCTGCAGCTCTCCAAGGCAGAGAATGCATCAAAGCCCGGCACCCAGGATATCACGATCCTGTGGGCTGTCCTGTTGAGGACACGCACGCTGGTGGGAGCAGATGGTATTCCTGCAGGGAAAAGCCAAGGGCAGTCATTTGCAAGTCTAAGCACAAACGTGTCACGACTGGCTTCCCCCTGGCAGATCCCACGGCTGGGTGCAACTGTGTGAACCCCAGGTGCCGTCCTAGCTAGAGCCGCGGCAGCATCCTCTATCTGTGTACCACAGATATGTTGGACCACTGGACAGGGAAGGAGGAAAAAGTCATTGGCAGGACCATTTTAACCATGTTCTATATTTGTGAGCTGCATCAGCAATCTGGGTTGCTTAGAGGCAATGACATATTTTGGGGAACACCTTCCCTGTGCTGCCGGAGTGGCTCTGGTCAGAAATGTTGAGAATTTCCACCATTTCCTATGGAAAATTGCGTGTACCGCCCTGGTTGTGAAGGAAGGAAAAGAGTGATACAGCCCTTCTGAAACCTGCTGGGGGGGGTGGGG